TTTGCTAGCACCACATATACCGAATTTGGTGTTACATGACGTCAATGGATGGCGAAATATATGGCTGGTGCAAACATGATGATTCTGACACGCGTGTCATGTAAAAACATGACAACATACCCCACTCATAGCATGCTCGCGGCTGTTTTACTAACTCCACATATAATAAATTTGGTATCAGGTGACGTGAATAATGACGAAGGTAAACGACACATTTAAACATGATAATCATGTCTTAGTAGTCATATACGGCATCATTTACCTCGACCTCGTAACGTTGAGCTGATTTTAAAGTGACATATCAACATTTCTGATTCGTGCTTCGTATATCATCGATTCCAACTGTACGTGGAATCTACTAATATTTTCTTCGTTCTTCTTCATTTTAGTGTTATGGTATCACATTCTAAAGAACTTAGCTTCAAAAGCCGAAACAGGTGTCAGTCGTTTTCCGGTACTGCAGCGACGGTCGATCCGCTTTATACAGCGCGAGCGATAACGTATGATGACATCAATCCCACGACCACCTCCTGTTTTACACGCCTTTCACTTTAAAATGGCGGTACACCCGGCTAAATGCGATGTTAGTGCGCACGCAGAAAGCTTGAGAACACTACAATCGCTCCACGCAAATACATGTCATCTTTTCTTTTATGCGGAGCATATAATGGTGGGTGCCCCGCCACGGAGTTCTACTGACTAATGGCGAATTCCACTTTTAGATCTGGAGTAGCTGCCGAAATCATGGAGCGAGATCTCGGATTGCGCCAAGCCAGATCTGCGAGTGGAGCACGTGGATGCCCCACCTGAGGTCGCGCCGGAAGTTCTTTACACACACGTCGCTGAACCAGTCCTGAAAGCTTCCTCGACATAGCTGATTATCCTCGTTCGAGACTTCGGCAGTGCACATGGCGGGAAAGCACGTGGGGCTAGTCCTCACTGCTGCTACGCTCTCGCTGTCGCTCAAACCGCGAAGTCAACCAACAGCATCAAACTGTGCCATTTCAGAAATGTAAACCCATGCAGATGGAACCGCCTCGAAAAAGATGAAAAGCCGCTCAGGGCAGCTGCAGGCTACAGCACAGCCCGATTGTGCTGGAAATGACGGCAATGTATTCTCGGAGTTCCGGCGAAATCTGTCTCTGCAAGACGGAGCTCGCGGAACGCTCCATCACGGAGTTAGTTGCTTCTAATCTGCCAGTGGAACACGCGAACTTGCTCGGAAACCACCAGCGTAATGCAGATTCTCGGCCGTGGAGCAAGAAAACTGGCTCTCGCTCGACTAGTGGAATTCGCCAATAGGTACTCGGCTTCTGACCCGCAGATCGCGATATCAAATCCCCGCTATGGTGGCTGCATTTCGGATGGAGAAGAAAATGCTGCAGGCCTGTATGCTCAGATGAGCGTGCACTTTAAAGAACCCCAGATTGTCAAAATTTGCGGAGCCCTCCACTACGGCGTCTCTCATACTCATATAGTGGTTTCGGGACCTTAAACCCCACACATCAATCAATCAGCTTATGGTGTAGTTGAATTTGGTGGGCGGCGTGAGCACCCTTACGGCGCATGCGCGAAAACTGGCCCAAGCACTGCCAGAACGCACTCACTCCTTCACGAGTTCCAGCCTGGGTAAGCCACGGAGGCTTCTTACCATTTCACTCTCTCAGAAATCATGGGATGACATCGGGGAACGGGATTACACAGACGCGCGATGAGCCAACGCGCTTTATCTTAGTAGGAGCGCAGTGGCACGCGCTAGAGTGTTCGTACTGGCGTAAGTAGCGCGCGCTGAACGCACGCGTTCTCGCGCGGCAAGGAGCTCGCATGGAATGTTCCAAGAACAGTTCGGGACGAGTAAACCATATTACGTTCCACTCGTGCTATGTTCTTCTTGAGTCATCAAGATGGCTCCGTTTTCGACTGGGGACGAATTGTAGCGAAAAGGAATGCCCACTGCAGCCGCCACATGGTCATGCTGGCGTGAGGCTTCGAGCTAGAGCGGCCTGGTTGATAGCTGCTGCGACGCTTCCCGTATAGCCGTCCAGCTTTGCTTCTACTGTTCCGATGTCACTACAACTTCTCGCTGTGATATAGGGGAGTGAGGCAAATTTAGCTCCATACATTCATTTCACAGAGAAGGGGGCGTTGCGATGAACCTTAACCCCTCCCCCCTCCTGAAGTGGAACCGTGCGCATGCCTATGCTTATCACCAGGAAACCAACTTCAGTTTTCTATCTTCGTTCCGAGCGAATATTAACATATTTTTCTGTTTTGTGCGCGAATTCGAGCAAGCGACAGCTGCAGAACCAACCATGATTGCACGAGCGATTGAATTGCATCACAATCGAAAGAAAAGACGTGCCTACAGCTCCAAGAACGCTGCCAGCGAAACAGCACGCACGAATATCTTGAACCGGAAGTCGATGCAGACGGCGCCTCTAATGAGCATTTGCGAGTTTACGCCTCACCTATAAATTGTGTGCACGTGCGTCACGCAGCGACCCTTCGTCACTTCCGAAATGTGCCACCGTCATTCCCGGGTACCTACCAAATCTGCCACCTACCGCTGCTGTGTTGTTTCCTCGAGCTTGCACCTGTTTAGTTTTGCCTCCTGATGCAAGTTTCGAGTAATTATTGGCTGCTAGTGAGGCAAGTTGATTTAGTTGTCCACGAAGAGGGAGCAGAGCTTCGGGGTGTTTCTTTTCCGAAAGTTATTGCCTAAAATTTAGAACGCATATTGCGATTTTCCGCAAAGTACCGGCGTGTTTGGCTGGCGCGGAATAAAATAAACTACTTGAAGAAACTCAGTGATATTTGCGTCTTCAGGTGTAACTTCATGGCGGGTAAGTGCCACAGCCAAGCACTTACGTGCAAACAGAGATAGCTTACCAAGATACTGTACATACAAACTTGTCCGGGGTCAATGCGTGCTCAATCAGCGTGTCAGGGAGGCGGTTAAAACCGTGATGGCAATCGCGGAAATTTGGGTATTGCATTGAAACAAACTGTGAAAATGGATGCGAAGCAATATTAGTTCACTTTGAAGTATAGCCAATTTGATCGAGTTGGGGGGGTCAGGATTTAAAAAAAAAGGTCAATTAATTCTCTAAAACGGTCTCCGTCATTTTCAGGGACTCAACTGTACATTAGCGTACAACAAAAGTAAAATACAAGGTGAAAGAGGTGTCCAAACATACGCGAAAAAAAAAGGCATGACCGGCATTACCGCGGTACGCACCACGCGAAGTCCTATCTTCCTCGCATAATATTTTCCTCGGCTGTTTTCACAAGTTTTAATCAGAGGGGCTCAACATCACCACTGTTTGATACACTTTGAAGGGTGGGGGGAGGCACTGCTACTTTGGTAGCGTGGGCCGCAGCGATATATTGATATTATATCTCTTGTGAACTTGCCTAGCTCTGCTCGATTCGTTTTCGATGGGAGCTGCTGCGCTTCGCTCATCCACTTTTAAAATTGCGGCTCGAGGCTGTAATTTGTTCTTGCGCCACGCAATTTGTAATATTTGCAGTGAAAGCGAGATAATGGGCCCTCGTAGGTCGTGGCGGGCAGCCGGTGTCCGCAGTGGCTGGTATACGTGTCGCACATCTTGATTTTCTGGTCATGTATCGAGTGAACAAGCGAGGACTTGCTGATTCGATGAGCTCGTTAAGGCACGACAACAACAAAAAACCACAGTGCTTCCGTTTCAACATCGTCCACAGCAACAGATGACGAGCCCCCAACAAACCACGCTGCACCACGTGAACTACCGTAGGTACCCAGGGAGGTACCCAGGCATGGTGGGAGAGGGCGACAAGGACGGAAGTGACATCACATGAACACTATGTATAGGAGTGCGCACGTGGAGTTAGTGGGTGGCTACTCCCATGGCAGACCCTTACATTGACACAATAGAGACGGGGTGGGCTCCGACCAACCCTTGCTCCCATCGTAGGAGACAGCTGACGACGTCTATACTCAGTACAGATCTATTGAGAAGTCATTGCAATTGTCATTACCCTTCCTACAGAGCTACGACAGTTTCGGACACGCTTGCGATGGGCTTCGGTCGGAAGAATGAGCATTTATGTACACTTTGGACGGGAATTAAAATATATTCTAAATGTTTGCAGCGTTCGACCATGCGTGTGGGATTGTCCTAGCGTACAGAGGAAACCCACAAGGGGCTTGCTTTAGCCTCGAATATCGATAGCACCACCCTTTAAAATAAATACTATTTTTATTGCTGGGGGGGAGGGGGCATAAGTCATAACGACTAGCTTACAGTCTTCAGAATGACATTACGTGATTGAGAAATGAGTCATAGTTGAACATGTGTGTGATGTCAGAAGATAGAACGCTCGGTGTAGGAATGGCGATGAGAAGGGGCGAGTGATTGAACAAATTAGTGCGGGCGAAAATGGGCTCAAGTTCAGGCTGGTAATCTAGCCATGAAGATATATAACGACCTGGCCTGATAGAAGGTATTGACTCATTGCTGATTGTAGTGAAGCTTTTGAAAGAAAGGCAATAGTGTCAGAATCGAACGCTTTAATGGAGGAGCTTAACTGAGTAAGGATTTGATGTCAGTTATGCTTGATGTGCGCAAGTAATTCTTGTTTTCGATGGGATGAAGCGAGCAGCCTTATTTTTTACAGACTCGAGCTTCTCAATGAGGTAGGCCTAGTGTGGATTTTGGAATAAGGAGGCGTACTGAATTTGTGAGCGCACTACGATCTTATAAGCTAGAAGCTTAGTCTCCGAGTTTTCCAGGTGAATAGTTAAGGCACGCTGACAATGAAGATTCGCTAGACAATGCTGCAGTCTTCTTTGCGTTGGTAATGTGCTTGAGCTCCTAAAAACGCACTGCCGAAGTTATGTCGTCGGTGTTTTTATTCTCGTGCCAGAAACAGTCCAGAAAGAACGCAAAGCTATTCGTTGAAAAGGCGTCTAGGAAGCCCACACAATCACCTAGAAACGTACACGCGTGGAAACTCACCTCATTGGTCTGCTTCTTGTACAGCCTCAAGGTGGGGAAGCTGTGGATGTCTGTGTGCTCGAGCTCATTCATCGTGGCGTCCATCTTCACGATGAGCAAGTCCTCACGGTCATTGTACCTGTTGGCCAACCAGTCGTAGTCTAGCGTCAGATGAAAACAGAGGGTGCACCAGGGCGAGTAAAACAGCACCAGGACGTCCTTGGTCTTGTCAAAGACGACTTCATCAAAGTTCTCTTGCACGACCATCTTGGCGCGATGGATTGTCGAGTTAAACGAATCTGCGAACCAAGGTGTTTCTTTGATACTGCCGTTCAGCACGCCCTCAACGAAGGTCTTGATGTCTTCAGTTTTGAGTGAGTCCGCCTTGGGCATGAAGGGTGTCACAAATCCGACACCGTCATGCTCGGCGAAGCGCAAGGCGGGAACATTGCCCTGCCAGATGTGGAAGTACATGAGGATCAGTTCGAAGTGTTCTTTATCAACGTTGATGGTTACGAAGACAACCTGCAGCGTGGAGATAAAAGCCAGAGTATGAACGCAATGTGTAGAGAAGTTCACGCATAGAGATAATGAGAGAACGAAATGGATCTTAGAACTAATGGGGAGATCACACGCAGCAGGCTTCCTGCTGTAAAAACCTCAAATCATGAAATGCAGGGCATTTCTAAAGTGAAATCGCATGAACCTGCAGGTCAATCACTTTACATTGCCTACTCAAGAGTAAAGAACGTGCATTAGAAATCTATCAAATCATTTAGGACAATACCTCATATGATTGGCCAATCGAATACACTCAATTATCTACAGCTGCGCTGCCCAACAGTTTTCACAGCATAAAGCTAGCCAAACCTGAAAGTAATATTAAATCTTCCTTTTGAAGACAAAAGAAGAAATCAGCACAGAAGTATGATAGTTCTAAGCTTTGGTGCCTCAGTTTCGGGACAATGCGACAGGGATGCTTTCGATGCCGTTTGTGATTATATTCAGGCAACCAAACGTATACCTTTGGGATGTTGAATAAAATAATTATTATTTATTACGCCATCCAAAAATTCTTATTGGCGAAGTGATGTAAACCCAGCTGAGTGGTAATCACAACACCTGAAATCTCAAAATTTCTCAACTTGACGTTTCTATATTTTTATTTTTTCTCGTTAGCTCACTTTTTATGTGGTTTTCCTTACATTAGTTATATTATAATACAAATTCATTACACATAGTTAAAATGATCACAGAAAACACTGCACTACGCTTTCTTGGCCAATCCCCCTGAGTGGGTATGAGCCATCAATCCAGGAAACAAACAAACGAACAAATTATCTGTGATTGTTGTGTTGTGAAAATAACTTTGGTTTTGGGAACTAAAGTACGTCCATCCGTTGTTGTTACCCACACATTTTGTTAATAAAATCGGTGATTAAAGAAATGCGTTAGAAATGAGCAGTATGCTTTTCAACGAGTCACTGGTATGCAATGTGCCACACCTGGTGCCTGAAGAAAGCGGCAGCCTTCCTGAAGTTCTTCAGAGCTTCCGTCATGCCGGCACTGTTCTTGCTGTAGAATAGCAGGCTAAACTGGCGAATCGGGCCGCTGAGCAAGTCGTTGATATTCTGAAATGACACAATTAACCGAAAGGGTTTAATAGACCTCAGAAAGCGATAGTTTTGATGGAGAGTTTTTTACAGTAATTTGTAGCTTTGCGTTGGATAATGCCGAAATGATATCGAAAATGCTCATACTCCTCGTATAATAATGGTAGAGGCGTTAATCTAGAATGATTTGGCGTCAGTTCGAATCACCCGCCTATATACCATACGAGGCTATCCAGCGCCTGCCTCTCACTCGCTGGATTCAGTGCCGACTGGTTGTGCCCTCACGATCTCCGATGACAGCGTAGCTCTGGCCGACTGAATTAGCCCTACCCCATCTTCTGTCATCGACAAGAGCTCTCGCCAGTAGTGCCCCGTCTTCAGACCTATGCAACCATATCCATCTTTTCTGTCTTCTCCTTACTTCCGTCGCTCCCTGTCATTGCGCCTCGCGCTCTCCGTCCTCTCTCTATATCTCTCTACCTTTTAATACTATTCTTCAATTTCCTTTTCTACCCCCATCCTTAGTGAGCTACTGTTGAGGTGTCCTCCCCCTGATAGACAGTTACAGGGCTCACTTTTCTCTTCTTTTCATTTAAAATCACTTCCCCAGTGCCGGCGCCTACCTACGCTAAAGCTTAGGTGACAGTGAAACACGCTGTTTTCCCGAAAGATGTGAAGGGGGGAATCACGGGTAGTGAATAATAAAATATTGTGGGTGCTTTGAGCCTGTCCCAATCTGAAAAAAAAGCATTCCTGGAGTAAGCAGGCTGAATGAACCACCTCGAAAGCAGCCTGACAACAGAGCGAGAGAGGATGAACAATACTAACCCCTCTCGCTCCCGCTCTCGGGCTGCTTTCGAGACGAACAATAGTCAGAGAGCTGAGTGAGATTGCAACCGAGCAGGACATGTGGTGCGTTTAGGGCTACAAATGGCGCCTCACAGAGTACACCGGTAGAAAACGCTGCAGCAGGACATCGTCGTGAATAGGGGAGACCCGCTCAAGTTTGCCCGGCGACGCCAGCGCTTGCCTTTCCCCTGCCAGAAAAAGCGCACAACAGAAGAGTCTTCCAACCCTTCCGCTCCCTTTGGCTTCCACGCATTTCTACTGATTCACAAACCGATGGTACGAAACAAGCAGACGACAGAAATGGATTAAAGCAGTGCGCCGAACAATGTATGTAAACAATTTTTTGTCATAAAAATTAGCACGCACACAATGCATTCAAAATTACGGGTGTTAATTCCTGCGTCACCATTCCTCTAATCTATCGAGTTACTGGGAAATGCACGTCCCCATCTTAAAAGTATAAATTTTCAACGCCCGTCTTTAGAGCACTGTTAAAAATAGCGAAGAAATTTTTTATGCTGCTACTATTATTCGATATTGTTGGGGACGTAGTAGTTGAAGCTGTGTGCACATGTGGTATTGGTAATGTGTTATTTTATATTTTTAAATCTACGCAGCGCTGACGGTAGTGTGCGGTTGCCAAAAGCTTGGGAAACTATGAAAAAAAGAAAAAAAATGCATTAGCCGTTGTTGCACGTCCGTTGGCAGATACAGTGAACTAGTTGTTACTGAGTGTGCAGGGGTAGCCCGAACAACACGGTGCGTTTTTGATACGTGACCAAGATAAAATGCCTTTATAGCAATGCACTCTTCCCCTGCAGATTAGACACACACAAAAAAGTTTCTCTGAAAGCTGGGCGCTCATCATGATGGTATGCACGCTGTTCGTGAACTCAAGGTACCCGCGATGAGAAGGGTGATAATACAAGGAAAGACACGCAAGAAAGATGTCAGTTTTCATTGTGGGTCAGAAAGAAGCCCCAAGTAGACCATTTATTTTTGAAGTGCTGTGTACATGCCGCACGATAACTTGGGTGGGTGCTAGTAAATTAAGGTATCCCAACTAATAGCAGTCACAGCGCAAGAATTGCTTAACCTAAAGCACGAGAAGCGGCCTTACCCATGCATCCAGTAACAAACATAGTGCATAGTACACAGAGTAAACCAAATAAAACAGGTATATAAGTATGAACGTACAGAAAGTTTTATTCACCTCTAACGTCGTAAACAGCGTCGTCTATCACTTGCGAAACGCACTTTGCTCTGACGAGGACGGCGTCGTCTGCTACAACTTGCTTCGCTCCCCTTTTACCAAATTGCTGCCACGAAAAAAAAATCCTCAATTGCGGCAACCTATTAAATGCGGACATAGCGCATACATCATAACCGTGCGCGACGCGAAACTGTCAGAAACACGTGCAGAACGCGTGCAGCGTGCGAGCAAAGCAACGCGTTTTTCAAGCAGGTTGAATGGGACAGCGGAGGGGTGAACACTCGGGTAACCAGTTTTCTCCCCACATTGACTGAAAGCGCCACACTCCGCAGCGCCTCCCTCGGCGTGGGTCTCCTCTATGGGGAAGTGTGATTGGTGCCCACCCAGCCGCAGCAGGCTCAGCAGAAGCCTCCAAGCTCTAAAAATGAAAACCCAGCTCAAGAAAGGAGGTTGTTGGTGGTGGTTCGAAGAAGAATGAGGCGCCTAATGGCAAATTTTACTGGTAGATCCAGAGTGGCCGCCTAAATCTTGGAGCGAGCTCTCGGATTGTGCCGAAGGAGTTCTGCGAGGGGAGCCCGTGAATGCCCCGTGTGAGGTTCCGGAGGTTTTTACGCATAGGTCACTAAGTTCGGTACCGGAAACGATTTTCTTTTCTGCTATCGACGTTTCAATGACAACTGTGTCGCCACTTCAAAGCACGAATTTCTAATTTTAGGAATGTCAACAAGAGCACAGGGTTACAAGACCGCCTCGAAAACACTGAAGGCAACCCAGCTGGCCGACTTTACCGGAATTGATGGCAACCCATTCTCGGAGTTCTGCGAAATCCGTCTCTGCAGGACGAAGCACACGGAACTCTCCGTCGCGGAGTGGATCGCTCTGAATCTACCAGCGGAAAATGAGAACTTGCTTCGAATCTGCCAGTGAAACGCGGATTGTCAGCTTTGGAGCAAGAAAAGTTGCTCCCGCTCGATGAGTGGAATTCGCCATAATTTCCGCAGCCCATCACGGGAAAGTCTATTTACTCCTCAACAGGTCGAAGTCACGTGACCAAAAGGAAGCGTCACATATGACGTCATTCGTAAAGCAGTCGGCCTCAAATGGCACTTCAACTGGCTACGTCTTGTCAAGCGAGTTTGAGGTCACCTGACAAAAAAAAGGCGCGTTTTGTTTATAGTATGGTTCACTTGCACTATTTGAAGTTATCTTACATTCTTGCGGTCGTCATCCACGCCGCGTGGTACGTTAAACTGGTAGCTCCATAGCGCAGCGGTACGCCGTTCTCTTCTGCATTGCACCAATTCACACCACGTCGCAACTCGGCCGAACAGTAATATTATCTGTTAGAGTTTAAAATCCCAAAAGCAGATCTGAATATAAGGGGTGCCGTAGTGGCGGGCTGCGGTAATTTCGACCACTTCGGCTTCTTTGTTGTGCCTCAAACTCAGTTCGCAAGGTCTCAAACAAATTTGCGTATATCGAAAATGCTACCGCCATGGATTCCGCCCCTCAACCTTCGGATCACCTAGGCAAGCGACCAGAATGAGCGCTCGTCTCACTGGCGAGTCGTGTACCATGCGTAACTTAGTACAGTACAGGTCACGGGTCACCGAAAAGACACTCCGAACTGCACTGACGACGTTTTCTGATTTCCAAAATTTTGAAAGAGTCAAAATTCTCGCATTTGCAAAGCCGCAAATGTGATATTCTCAAAAATGGGCAGTCAACAACTAATAATATCGGTATACATGGTGCCAGAGATTGCTGAAACGTGTCATTATGCCACTATAGACAAGTTTATTGACATCTGTATTTGTTGATGCTCAGTGGTTACTTCAAAGATTAGAAGCCAAACACCACCAAACACCGCCAAACAACCCTGAATGGCCGTCACGAAGACTCCAGGCAGTACACCTGAAGACTTCAGTACATTCCTTTGATGCAGAGCGTATGGCGCTAACAGACGTGTTAGAAAATGCCGGCAAGCATGCCCCCAACTATGTTTGCCGCAACACAACAGGGCGCCTACATGGCCGCCCATTCATGTAGGTTCGATATACACAACACACATGGCACTCCCCTTGACAACACTCTTTACTCCCATACCTACACAACGACACATGACACGCCCATGGGTGCCACAAAGGAGTGACTTCAATTGCGCGTGGGCTTCCTTTGCCGGGCTCTTTATTCCGACAGGGCACGCACAATAAGGCGTATATTGATGGCAAAAAAAAAACAAAGCGCTCTTCCCGCCTGCTTTTGTCTCTCCTATGGCCAGGGCCATGGATAGGACTCAGGAAAAATCTCCAAAGCCTCGTTTCTATGTTTTTTTTTCGCCTTTCTAATGTTGTATGTGACGTTTCACTTTGGTTCACGTGACCCCGAGTTGTTGAGGTGCAAACGGACTCTTCCCATTAGGGAGACGGAGCAGCCATCATACTTCAACGCTCTCTTTAGCTCCGAGCGAAGGGAAAATGCTAACTGGAGCTTCCTCCTCTCCTGTCAAGGCTTCCTGCAAGAGATTGCATCCTCGCTGCAACATCACCTCCTCTCGTTTCTCAACCACTACGGCTGCCAAGCAAATGGCGCCCGCACCAAGTGTGCTACCTATAGGTGGTGGTGGTGATAGTGGTTAGAAAGAGGAGAAAGGCACCAGCTTCTGCAGCCCGGTAGGGAGCACGGCGCAAGTGCCTTTTAGGTAGCCACGGCCGGGCTAGACTGCATCTGTGCACGCTTCTTTTCTTACGACCTTCTAACCCGTCGCGAATACAATGGGAGAGTTTCTGAGAATGTTTCCCGACCCGTCGGCGGTAGGGGTGCAGTGACCCTGACATTGCATCTTCTGCTCTGAGCACTTGGTACAAGGAAGTTTGTCGTTGTGAAACCGTGGAACAAGGGTTCTCGATGAAGAGGGGAAGCGGTATTATTAGAGAAATCAAGAATAGTGGGAGGA